TCTGGCCTCATGTCCCCCAGCCGCCTGCCCGGCAGCCGCGAGCGCGACTGGGAGAACGGCAGCAACGCCTCGTCCCCCGCGTCGGTGCCCGAGTACACAGGTAGGTGGGCCTCCGGGCTGACCACCGGGCCGCCCCGCCCCACGTGCCGCTGACCGCCCCGCCCCCCAGGTCCACGGCTGTACAAAGAGCCCAGCGCCAAGTCCAACAAGTTCATCATCCACAACGCCCTGTCCCACTGCTGCCTGGCGGGCAAGGTGAACGAGCCGCAGAAGAACCGCATCCTCGAGGTAAGCCCGGCCTGTGGGGGGACGGCGGCCCGTCGTGGCCTGCCGCCGACCACTCCCGCCCCCAGGAAATTGAGAAGAGCAAGGCCAACCACTTCCTGATCCTCTTCCGGGACTCGAGCTGCCAGTTCCGGGCCCTCTACACGCTGTCGGGGGAGACGGAGGAGCTGTCTCGGCTGGCGGGCTACGGCCCGCGCACCGTCACGCCCGCCATGGTCGAGGGCATCTATAAGTACAACTCGGACCGCAAGCGCTTCACTCAGATCCCCGCCAAGACCATGTCCATGAGCGTGGACGCCTTCACTATCCAGGGACACCTCTGGCAGAGCAAGAAGCCCACGACTCCCAAGAAGGGCGGCAGCACCCCCAAGTAGCTCCGCCCTGGGTGGTCCGCGGGCCGGGCCCACGCGCTCTGGCCACCGCCCTCCTGGACACAGGCAGCTGGTCCTCCTGGGTCCTGTCTGTGCCGACTCTTGTCAGGGTGGGGCTGGAGACCCCACTCCCTACTTCTGTCCTGTCCTGCTGTGGGGGCTGAGCTGGGAGGTTCAGGGACTCAGGGCTCAGCTCAGTCCCCTGTCTGTCCTCCCCTGCCTTCTTGAATAAAATAATTTAAAGAGAGCTTGAACACGCTCACCTCCAGGCGACGGGGCACACAGCTCGCCGCTCTGGGCTTCTGTGCCCGCCGCCTACGTCCATTCTCTACTGACCCCTCCCGTCTCTCCTCCACCTCCTGTGGCCCCGCCAGGGGCCCCGACACAACTCAGCCAAGGTCTGGCACGACCGCCTGTCAGGGCCGTGGCAGTCCCCCAGCTGCCTCTGGACTGACCCCTAGGCCCCAGAGGCCGAGGCTGCCTCCCCCGCACGGGCCTCGGCCATACTGTACTCGAGCGCTCAGTCCGTCTGCCACGTTTCTGGGCTCGGTTAATGTCTGGGTTTGGGGTCCCCACTGTCTCTCCTCTAGGCTCCACGCCTGAGGGCCCCACCCCCTGGGCAGGAAACAATGGCCATCTCAGGTAGGACCTACGCCACCCGCTCGCCATGGCTGAGGTGTGCGAGGCAAGGGGGAGCCCCGCAGCACCACGCGACACCGCAGGTTCTGGCTTGCACCCCCCCCCCAACAACCATCCCAGCCCATGAGCCAGGCGGCCCCAGCCAACCCCCACAGCAGCCTGCCCGGCCTGTTCAGGGCACAAATCTGATTATGTCCCGCAATGCCCAAAATCCCTTAATAGCGCAGCAGAGCTTGATCACGGCTTCCCGGAGCTTAAGACAGGCCACGCCGGGCCCAGGCTGCGGCTGGTCTAGCTCCTGGCGGCAGCCCAGGGCGGGCGCTCCAGCTGGGCCGCAGGGCTGAGGCCTGGGCCGCCTGTCTCCTGTCTCCTCCCACAGGGGGGTGGGTCCTCTTGGCCAACGAGAAAGGCGGTCTGGAGGGGGAGGGGCACCCGAGGCGGGAGACGGGCTGCACTGGCGTTAGGGGCAGAAGTTGGCCAGTGGGGGCACATGCTCACCCCCACCACGAACTTGGGGCTCAGGGAGTACTCCGGCAGCACAACCTGGCCTCGGAGTCCAAACTGGCTTGGCGGGTGAGGGTGGGGCCTGCGGCCTGGCCTGGGGCCCAGAGGCCCCACCTCCCACACCAGCCAATCTGGGGGTGGGGTGCGGTCGGGCTCGGGCTCAGGGCCAGGGCAATGCCAGGCTGGCCACCCCTCTGGGCACCTGGGCGGCAGAAAGCGTGGGCCGGAAGGAAGGAGGCTCAAGACCATGAGGTACAAAAGCAGGATTCATTGTTGGGGAGCGGGGGGAGCTCAGTCTTCCTTCAGGCTCCCGAACACAGCCGCTGGCACGCTCTGCTGCTCCAGCCGCACCTCTGTGGGAGGCAGGACACCCCGGTCACTCCAGGCTGGGTCCCTGGCCCGCCCCCCAGTGTCCCGCCGGCGGCTCTCACCATTGGGCTCCAGGTCCATCTCGTCCTCGTCCTCGTCCTCCCCCAGCTCAATCTCCTCCGGGTTGGCCTGCTGCGCCAGCTCAGCCAGCTCCTCCCGGGAAGCGTCGCTCCTGGGGCAGGAGGGGGCCAGGCTCGGGAGGGCTGTCTTCCCAGCACTCCCTTCCGGAAAGAGCTGGCGCCCGGCCCAGCCCTGCACCCCGCCCTCACCTCACAAACAGGATCTTGCTCTGGGCCCTCGGGGGCTGGTCCCGTTCGGCCTCAGCTGCCAGCTGCTCTGCCCGCTGCTCCAGCAGCTTCATGTCGTCCATACCGCTCTGCCCGGGGGCGAGGTCGGACACTGATGGGGCACAGGGGTCAGATGCCACGGTGGGTCCTGTCCAAGACCCCCGCCCGCCGGGAGTCCCGAGCCTGAAGCGGGGGAGGAGGGCGCCTCGAGGCTCCCATGCCCAGGCGGTGGGGCACGGGCGGAGGCGGTGCCGGCCGCAGCTCACCGGTGCCCGTGGCGCTGCCCGACACCTTGAGCATCTGCGAGGCCATGAAGTTGACCTGCGTGTTGTAGGTGGCCTGCACGCTGCGGCGGAGACGCAGCATCTCGCGGATGGTGTCCTCGTTGCCGTGCCGCACCTCGAAGTCCTTCCACGTTTGCCAGAAGGCCCCTGTCGTCTGCAGGCGGGGGTGTGAGCGGGCCCGTGCGGCCGGCGCCCCGACACCCGCCCCGTCGGGGAGCCCGTCCTACCCGGGGGTCGCAGATTTGGGAGCAGAAGCTGTAGATGGCCCGGGCGCGGTCGATCTCGCCCAGCTTGCACTCCATGTCGGCGAAGCGCAGGCACATCTCCCGGGCGTGCTCGTCCGACAGCACCTGGGCGCGCGGGGGCGGCGCTCAGCGGCGACCTTGGCAC